CCAACACTTCATTTGTCCCTGGATAATAGGACTACCAAGTGCATGTAAACCATGGTTAAAACCACATTATAGCATGCGATGTAATATTCTTATAATAAAAAAGAATACAAATTTATTGTGGTAAATACATAAAGCAATTACAATTTAGATTGACTAAACAAATTATGGAAATTGTAAAACATATAAATTAACAGTAGGTTAAGATGATCTTTCTTACAATGGAACACTATTTTTGATAATGAAAAATATTTTATGGCACAAAAGAATCTGGTGTTGCAACCTATTTATAATGAAACACTACTTTTGAAAATGAAAACTAAAATGTATCAAAAGTTAATAATCTTTATCACAATGAAACACTACTTATGATAATGAAACTAATATATATCAAAAGCTGATTAATATGATGTAGACATCAGTGAATTGACAACTAGTGCTGGAAATTTAGATGGACCGCTCGCGATTGCACGAAATACCGATTTTTTGCCTGAAGCCTGACCCGACTAGCCCGAAAAATTTGGGCCGCCTGCCTGAGCCCGAGAAGGCCCTTGAACGGGCCACGGACTTGTATTTGGCTGCCTAAGCCCGGCTGGGCAGCCCGAGCCCGCCCAATTAGCTCGACTTTTTTTAATCTTTTTTTATTTTTATAATTATTAAGTTATTTTGTGTTAAAATTATATAAAAACCAAAATTAACATTCAATAGACATTATTAACACAATTTAATAAATTAATTTTGTATATTAATTTCTTAATTCGTAATTCATGATTGCCTCGTAAAAAATCTTACTAAGAAAAGCCCAATTAGGATAAAAACTTGGCAAGGAAAAAAGAGTGCAATCATTTTGTGACGAATTATAAATTTTACAAACTTACAAAGTTATTCAATTACAATGTCAAAAGTAAATACATATTTACAAATTATAAATTTACAATTTAATTTGAAGCTGAAGGATCGTCTTAAAAATTAAATGTTAATCGATTAAATTTATCGATCCATTCTTGGCTTGCCGGAGAAATTGTATCCTGTAGACGTTGATTAGCACGATCTCAATCCTTAATGCAGACCAAGGCTTTAACAATGTCCCTTTGCAATGCATTCCGGCGTTCTTCAAGTATTCCTCTTGTCGTACTGAAGGCTTGTTCAGATGAAATAATGGAGACTAAGATACATTGCCAATTGAGTTAGGATTGGCCAAGTTAATGCCCGTGCCCTCCACCATTGACTAAGTCAAAGGATTATCTAGTATCGTTGACTACTAATCCTTCACTGAGGTACATCATACGTAATTTGCCAATCATATGCGTCTATATGTCCTACTCTTATTTTTGCACACATATAGTTTGTTATAACATCCTTATAAGGGATGCATTGTTGAAGCATTATATAAGTTGAGTTTCATCTTATAGACATATCTAACGCTAATGCTCTAAGAGATATATTTAATGCTTGTAAGAATCTAAACCAATCTTCTTGTCTTTTGTTACTACCTTGAATCCATGCAAGATTATCTCTAATTCTTTTAATGTGATTATTCATTTCTTTTAAACCTGATTTAACTATTAAATTAATTACGTGACATGCACAACGTTGGTGGAAAATAGTACCGTCACCGAATAAACTTAAATCATTTTCAAAGAACTCAATTGTTTTTGTATTGACACTAGCATTATCTAATGTTATAGCCATTACTTTATCTCTTAATCTAAATTCATCAATTACATTTAAAATTGTATTATATATTAAATCCGCGCTATGTGATCCTATAACACATTTAAAACCTAATATTCTCTTATTTAAATCAAATCTTTTAAAGTAATGTCCGGTTACAGCTAAATAATCTTTATTGGCCGTTAACACAACGCACCCGCTAGTCGAGTGTAAAAGGTTTATTAATGCTTCTTTTTCTTTTTTAAATAATTTTAATAAATCTTTCCTAAGAGTAGTTTTTGAAGTGAACTTTGCATTGAGATTATGTACAATCTTAATATATCGTTGCCAATTAGGATGTTCTACAAAACTAAGTGGTTGATCTAAAGCAGCTATCATTCGCACAACTTCCATACGATCTACTTGTGGATCGTATTTCCAAGTGGTTAGACCACCGGTTGCGCGATCAAAAGATAATTGTGTTTGACAGAGTTCGGGTCTGCCGGATTGGCTAAGCTTTTGCAAACACTTTTTGGACTGTCTTCCCAAGTGTGCGGTGCTGTGAATAGTGTCACCTTGTAATTTAGATAAATAATATTTACACTGAGCCATATGTTTAGTGTTACCTTCATTGTCGATCTCCTCAATTGTGTCGAAGTTATCCCAAATTGTCGAGGTGCGCTTGCATTTCCTCCTGGAGGTTGCAACACTTCCAGACGCAGACGCAGTCGCACTTGCACTCACCGCTTTTCCACGCCCACCACCATTGCGACCACGACCTCCAATACGCCCACCAGGGCTCGGAGTCGGATTATTAGATTCCTGCGTAAAAAATTCATTAGTGAGAAATTATCTTTCTTCCACGTTGTGTTGGATATCAACGGGAATACCACTATAACCAAAAGGATCCATTATAAAAAAATAAGAGTGATTTGAGAGAGAGAGCTTTAGGATAATGTGATAGTTTTTAGAAAAATTGTGAGGGAGATTTGAGAGATTGAGAGAAATTGAAAGGGATTGAGAGAGTTTAAGTGAGAAAAATGTGTGATGGGGGGTATTTATAGGGAAATTTTTGGGTTAAAAATTGATTTTTTTTTCAAAAAAATTCAGATGCACCGGCTACTTTTGGTTTCGGCAGGTCGGGTTGGGGCAAAAATTCGGGTAACAATAAAAAAACTAGCTGTTAGACGGGTTTTCAGGCAATTTGGTAGTTTGGGTAGGTCGGGAAATTCGGGCAAATCTGGCTTTGGGTCGGGTCGGGCTCTAACAGTCGAAATTTTGACCGTTGGTCGGGTTTTCGAGCAGTCGGGTGGGTCAGGCAAATCGGGCTTGGCCGGAAAAATTTTAAAAAAAATTCGGCAAACGGCAATTGACGGCAACAACACAGCGAGCTCCAACGTGGTGTCTCTTTTCGGGCTGCCCGAGCCCGAACTCGAAAATATAGTGTTGGATGGGCCAGCAATTAGGCCTGTTTGCCGAGCCCAAAAAATTTGGGCCTTGGGCCGGCCCGCCGGCTGAAAGTTCCAACACTATTGACAACCTCTTTTTCACTAACATTTTACGATCCTGTTTTCGTCTTTTTGTCATATTTCAGACAATGATATGATAATTAAATACACTAAAATGCAATTGAAATTAAAATCAAAATCACAGAAACCTCATTACGCTCAAGATTATGATCAAGATTATGTACTTGAACAACACAACATTATGTTAAAGATTGTAATCAGGAAAACTCAAAAAATTCTGACTAAAATTCTTGTTGTGCACTTGAATCTGAGGGACGCGCCATTCTGATTTTGAATTTGATGCTTCCCCTTTCTTCGAGATAAGGTGTGGGTTTTGGATGAAGAAGTGCCCTTGTTCTTGCCGGAATCGCTTTTGGATGATGATTACCCCTTCCTAGAGGTCCGGCTTCGCGTTTTGGGAGAGGAAACCGTCGAAATGTTCTTTTTCGTTGTTTTCTTATTTCCCTGCGTTGGTTTCTTGGCCATCGACTGCTTTTTCATTGTTTTGGTCCGGGATTTTGAGGTGGAGGTGCGGTTGATGGTCGTTGTCTATGGAGGATGATTTTAGAGTTTTTGGACGGGAATCAGAGAAAAAGGGACGTTCAGATTTCGGAAGAAATGATCAGTATAATGAAAACTGATTTTCTGGATGCTCTTAATAGTTTTTTTAAAATAAAGTCTCGTTGATTTTACTTTACTGATTCAAGTTTTCAATTTCAATTTTACTACACTTAAAAACTCTCATAAAAAATCACATCTAACTTTTTTGTTACAATTAAAAGCTCTCACATAAAATCACAGCCTCGTTCACTTCGCGAATTTGAGTTTTTAATTCGAGCTAAGATGTAACATTTTCTGAAAACTTTTCACTATAGTAAAAAAAGTTAGATATGACATTTTTTGAGAGCTTTTTACTGTAGAAACTTAAAACTAAAAACTTGAATCAGTGAAATGAACAAGGCCGTCATTTAAGCTTGAATTAAAAACTCAAATCGATGAACTGAATGAGACTTAAAACTTTCCCTTTATTGAATATTGTGCGTTTCATTTGCATATTCAAATTTCATTTTAAGATTTGGGCATCGTTCATTTCACCAATTAGAGTTTAGAATTTAAGTTTTACTATAGTAAAAAGCTCTTAAAAATAAATATATCTAACTTTTTTACTATAATAAAAAACTTTTATATAAAATCATATCTCAACTAAAATTAAAAATTCAAATCGACGAACTAAACGAGCCATTGATTTTCAAAATTATCCTACTTTATTGTTTCATTATTTTCAACACTTTTCATTATATAAGGATAATAATGTCTTTTTATATACAATCGTGGATAGTTTTGTAAATAAATAGAATAGTAGAAATTTTTTATTCTCATAATGCTCTAAGTTGACGTTTATGTATATAACTCAAGAAAAAATATAAAATATGACTGTCAAAATTTGATGTAGAAATTCCCCTAAAAAATGTAGAAATTAATTAATAAAAGGAAAAAAAAAGGAATATTTTTGCAATCAACTCTCATTAGTCAATTGACAACTTGATAACTTACAAAAAGGTTTTTCAATTCAATGCTAAAAACTAAAGGGTTGTTCTCTTAGAGTGTAATTTAAATGTAATTTTTTAGTTGAATTTGAGTTATAACTTGAGTTGAAGTTGTAACTTAAATAAAGTTGAGTAAAGTTGAATAAAATTAAAACTTAAAAGAATATGAACTTGAATAAAGTTGAAACTCGGGTTTTTTTTTTTTTGAGTTTTTTAAACGAAAGAACAACCCCTAAAAATAAATAGTGTAAAAGAGTCTTTAAATTCACTGACAATGTAATGCAGACTGGGGAGAGACCAGAGGAAAGCAATAAGTGTCATTAGGTACATCATAAATGTCATTGAGCACAAAATGCCACCACTCATGCAAGAGTAATCTATCAAAGTGCAATTCCTTTGAAGCTGCACCAGTTCAATTTCAATACAAAGATTAGCCCAGCTTGAGCAATGCTAAAATAATGTAAAAGAAAATGAGACGGTAGAAAAATAAAAATGACAATTGAATTTTCTTTTCTATTCTTTTCTATCTTATTCTAACAAGTATGTAAAACCAAACTTGGGATGGTTAAATAACTTAAGAAGTCTCAAGAATGGAGCCTATAAGACCAAAATCTTACTCTAAGTTTGTCAACGCCAAAATTGGAATAGTAAAAGAACTTAGAAGTCTCGACGATCAAGCATATCTACCAAGGTCATTCTCCTTGGAAATCTTGGGGGAAGCCTCATATACATAGTGTCCTGAATCTCAATCGGCAAATGTGTAGCTACAATCACAATCCCGCCATTCTTTCTATGCTCGGAAATGATGTACTCCAGCAACTTCACCCCATCATCATCTAATGCAACTGAAGGCTCATCGAGCAACCAAATTGGCCTGTTGATCGCTAACAACCTGGCGAGCTGAAGCCTCTTTCGCTGCCCCATTGACAGAATCTTGGCTTTCTCTTTAGCCAATTTTCCAAGCCCCATCAACTCCAAAGCAGCCAAAGACTTCCCTTGCTTCCCTTCAAGAACTTCAAACCACTGAACATTGTCAAGAACTGACATATTATTTTTTATTGCCTCTTTAAGGGAGAGCCAGTTGAGCTGAAGCTTGTATTGATGGAAGATTCCTGATTTTGTGATATCGTGACCATTCCAGAGAATCTCTCCGGCCGAAGGACGATTAAACCCTGCCAACATTCTGAGGAAAGTTGTCTTGCCTGACCCGTTTGTGCCAGTCAACACTAGTGACCCTCCATCATAAAGGGTGACATTAACATGTCTTAGAATTTGTTGGGCATTTCTCATGCAAGAAACATTCTTAAGAAGAAGCCTTGGGAGTGCTGGTTTTCTGAGAGACATTGATTGTTTTCGAAAATATAGACTTTCTCCAAAAAGAAGTTCAGACCTTTTTCTTTTTGAGGCTTTTGGAAAAACCAATCAACAAACTCACTCCCAATCACTAGATGAATCCCTGTGATTAATTCATAGAAGCAAAATATTAGGATGAAACCCTATTCAAATTCAAACATATGAATTTGTTTAGAGCAAAAGATAGGACAAAAAAATTAGAGCTTAATAATTGCTGCTAAACAAGATTAGAGCTTCCTGAAGGATTGACACCTAATTATTGCCTAAAGGCAAATTTGACCTTAAATTTTTTTTTTTTTTTTTAAAAGAAAAAAAACCCAGTAACGACAAATTCTGAGATGAATACAAAAAAGAAAAAAAAAAGAAAAAAAAGGAAGACCATATAAATTGATCGGAGCAAAAGGTAGAAATGCAAAATTAGTCCTTAATAGGTGCTGCTGGAGAAGATTAGAGCTTTTTGAAGTATTTTGACAACTGATTATTCCCTATAGGCTACAGGCACCACTAGAATCTTTTTTTAAAAATAAAAAAAATCAATCTTAAGTAGTAAATAAAATTCTGTAATGAATTTCTAAAAAGCAAAAACTTAACTGACATATTAATACATAAAAATGAAAATACTTAACTGGAAGTCTTTATAGGGATGGATCAGCCTGTTAAGCTCTACTGTGACAATAGTGGAGTAGTGGCGAACTCAAAAAGAGTCAGGAGCCACAAAATTTGATTTTTATAGACTAAGATGTCAATTAAGTTTTTGCTTTTGGGAATTCATTACAGAATTTTATTTAGTAATTAAGATTGATTTGTTTTTTTATTAAAAAAAAAAAAATCTAGTGGTGCCTGTACCCAACAGGGAATAATCAGTTCAAAGTCTTTTAAAAAGCTCTAATCTTCTCTAGCAGCACCTATTAAGTAATTTCTACCTTTTGCTCTGATCAATTCATCAATTTATATCGTCTAGCAGCACCATCCTTGACTTCTACCATTACTATCAAGATGTGAAACAGTCCACTTTATTATATATCTTTCGAATTGGAGGTAGCCAAACCCACACACTTCCTCTAACAAAATTATACTAAATATTTAATATCAGAATCTATGGCGAAACAACTGCTATAATTCACGGAAACTAAACAATTTTGCAAAAGAAATTTACATACCCTGACATTTTGGTGAAGATGTTCGGATCAGAAGCTCTGTTAAAAAAATGTCAATAAAAATTCAAAAACTTGAAGGATCCAAAGCTGTGTAATCAATAACTCCTAAATTAAAAAAAAAAATGAAAAGCTAAAACACTGATTAATCACATAAAAAGTTTCCCATTACTACAGATAGAATTCTCAGTTAGCCAAAATCTGAAAAGCTTAGATTTATCAGTTTATATAAAATGTTCGGCGAAATTTCTCTCTAGTTCCAAAATACATGAAGAAATTAAACATATATAAATTGCAAAATGTAAATTTGCTGACCTCGAAGATGGAGGAACTGAAAACGGAGGCGACCAAGGATTTCTCATAGGAATCTTATCATCTCTAAAACCCCGTGTGTTCTTCTATTTACTAAACTACCCTTCTCTGCACTGCGCCTAGAGTCTATTGGGCTTCCGTTACGGGTTTATCGCAGCCCACATTTGTAGACGTTTTTTTTTTAACCGGCAAACGGTCTGGACCGGCTGGTTCCGAAGTCCATTACGTATAAATATTGAACCGCCGACTTTTCAATCGTCCCAAATCTCAGTTCTTAACCCTGCTACTTTTCTTAGGAGAGAAAGAGAGAAATAAGTCAAGAGTTGAGATGGATTAAAATGAATATGTTAATAATTTACATAAGTTAATAAATATGTAAAATTATTATTTTTATCTATAACTTGTCTGGTTATGAATCACAACTTGATAAGTTATTTACGGTTTTTGTCCATAACTTGTCTGAATATGAATCATAACTTGACAAATTTGTCCATAACTTATCTGGTTATGAACCATAACTTGATAAGTTATGAACTATTAATTTCTATTACTAAAAATTAGCCTATATACTTTCTTAAGTTTTTCATATTGACATATTTTCTACTATTTCTGTTTTCCCTAATTTTCCCTATGGGCTTACAGCTTACTATAGTAACGCCTCCTATATTTTACAAATAGGGAAAAGGAAGAAAATAGTATAATTAGTAAAGTAATTAGTAAATCATAGTATATTTTTAAAAATAGTAAATTATAGCTAAATTTGATATTATCAATTTTAAAAATTATTAAAAATTAAAAATACTCCTAAATTTCTTTTCCACTTCACTCATCCCCATAAACATCTATTTTTAAAAAAATAATAAATTATAGCGTATTTTCTAAAATAGGTAGATTATAGTCAAGTCCACCATGGCCAGGACCAGTGGCCGGAGACCATTTTTTGGTAATCTGTGACCGTTTTTCGGTGACCGGTGATCATTTTTCGGCGACCGTTTAGCACTACATTTACTGATAAATACCGTATTTACTAGTAAATACTCTATTAACCCAAAAAGTCGATCACCGACTCCGGCGACTGTTTAGCACTGTATTTACAGGTAAATATCGTATTTACTAATAAATACCGTCTTTACTAATAAATATCATATTTACTTTAAAATTTAGCTATTGACTCCGGTACCTGTTTAACACTGTATTTAACAGTAAATATCGTATTCACTAGTAAGTATCATATTTATCTGAAAATTTAGGCACTGAATCCGGTGACCGTTAAACACAATATTTACTAATAAATATCGTATTTGCTAGTAAATATCGTATTTGTAAGTAAATATCATATTTATCTGAAATTTTGACCACTAACACTATATTTACTTGTAAATACTGTATTTATCGATAAATATCGTATTTACTCGCAATAACATATTTATCTGAAAATCTAACTGCCGGTGTGCCGACACCGACAATTAGTAAATAAATATCGTATTTACTAGTACATATCATATTTATCTCAAAATCTGAAAAATCTAGCCTCCGGCACTGACGACTAATAAATACAGTATTTACTAGTAAATAACATATTTACTCGTAAATATCATATTTACCTGAAAATAAGTTCCTGGAGCTAAACACTTATTTACCAGTAATATTGTATTTATTAGTAAATATTATATTTATCTAAAAATCTGACTGCCGGCTCCCGTGACCATTAAATACCGTATTACCAGTAAATACAATTTTTACCTGTAATATAATATTTACTCATAAATGCCATTTTTATCTAAAAATTTGGCCGCCAGTGTTGGTGACCGTTAAATACCGTATTTATGGATAGATACTATATTTACCTATAAATATTGTAATTACTAAGAAATTCGGCCGCTAGAGCTGGCCACCTGTAAATACTGTATTTACCAATGCATTTACTGGTAAATACAATATTTGCTAAAATTTTCTATTATTTGTGTTAAAATTAACATAAAAAATCTAGAAATATAAAACTAAAAAATAACAAATAGTTCATTTCTTTATAAAACTTCTTCCCAAATTATTTTAATTACAAAATCAACCCCAAATTAAACCCCAAACTAAAAACATTATCTTAACCCTAAAATCAGCCCCAAATATTTTCGAGCTGCCAACCCTACCACCCAGACGCTGTCAGCCACACCTAACCGTCGCGGAAAAAGGCCCTATGTAGCGAACAAAACATTGTGACAGACTTGCATGTTGGTTTCTCAAACTAGATTTTCAAAAAAAAAATTACACGGAAGCGCGCTATCGATCGAATCGTATAAATTAAAATTTAATGTGATTATTATTTAATGTTAATTTAACTACTATGAAATCAAAGAGAAGAAAAATAATTTTACTAAAAAAAAATTGTTGGAACTCTTTCACAAATTCACACATGATGATGATCTGTCCGCCATTGAAGAAAAAAAAATTACATATTGACTCTTATTTTACAATTGATCTAATCAATATAAAATAACAAAAACTAATTCCATGAAACATGAAAAATTTACAACCAATCCATTCGCATAATACATAATCATCACACAAGAATCATACATCATATGCATAAGTGCCTATCAATAAAACATACACGAATTATCACATAATCAAACTTTAAATTAGCATGAAATAAAGACCGCTCTGATATTGTTGGTTTCTCAAACCGATTTTTTTAAAAACATTGTGCGGAAGCATGGTATCGATCAAATCACATAAATTAAAATTTAATGCGATCATTATTTCATGTTAATTAAACCACAATGAAATCAAAGATAAGAAAAAGAATTTTACCGTCGTTCGATTAGGACGTTAATCTTGAACTCCTCCAACACCGTCTTGAGCTTTAAATTCTAAGAACACCACGGCTCTTTCTCAACGTATCTCCGATCAACGTGAACTCGAACGTGTGGGCGTTTTAATGGGTTTCTGAACGCATAAAAAGGATGAATGAGATGGTCACCTATGACTATCACTCACTTTTTTCAAAAGTACGTGATATTTCTCAGAGTCTTTTCTCTGTATTGTTTTTCTCTCACTCTTCTCTAAAAATAATACGTACTCTTATCTGAAGAGATATTAGAGAGATTTTTAAGTATTTAATTTAAACAATTTAAATCAAATAACCTCCCGCTACCACACTTAGTGGGATTTTTTTTTTCATCCACTTTCTCTCCTTTTTTTAACGTGTATATTAAGTTAAGGGAATTATATATATATGGCCTTATTTTATTGGCAAAATTAAATTAAAAAAATCTTTTCTCTTAATGAAAAACGTGGAGAGCTTTAGGAGTGAGAAAAAATTTCTCTCTTTCTATAAAAGTGCTTAGATTCATGCATATTAATTTAAAATAATTTTAAAATAATTTTAATATTAATTAATCGAATTAATTAATATGAGTATTTAGAATTCTCAATTCTAAATTAACAATCATAACCAAATATGATATATATAGTTCACATTAATCTTATGGAGTCGTTGGGATGAACCATGGACATTATAAATTTAAGTTCCAATAATTTTGACAATTAATTAACACCTTAATTAATATATTAAAATTATTAATTCTAAATTACTCCACTATAAATTTAGAATTGCACTCTTATAATTATAAAACAATTATGTTCATGGAATTTGTGTTGTCCATTAATATAGTCATTACATACGAATTAATCATCTATAAACGGTTCATAATTAAAGCTAGAAATTTTCCATTGGCCTCTTTAATTATATATTTCTCCATAAGTATCATTGATCTTCTAATGAATAATATATTTTATGATCCAATCATAAAATTGAACGCTCTAATTATTCAAGCCCCGAATCAACACTTATGGGAATCGTCCATCTACTTCATTATGAAGGAATGGATTTCGTCTTCTAAATTATTATTCCTGGCTATTTATTTTACCATGCTCTCAATATACCAAGACTTTGACACTATTCATATATGTCATTACTCAATATGTTAAGGAACATAATATCATAAATAGGAATATATTAATCACTCAAAATTAAGATTAATTGATATATGACCATCATTGATTAATATTAAATGCTCTATTTAATAATATAATTTATTAGAGATTCATAATTAATTACGTTCCGGTCCTATGTAATCATATTACATAAAGTGTTTTCATTCCAATAATCTCATTATTAACAATCTAGGATAAGATTGTTTCATTCATAATGTAATGAACCGCACTAGTAACTTTAAATTAAACATTCCAACTTTAAATTATAATTACAATAAGTTTAGATTTTTTTACTCCAAACATTATCCTCTGCATATAACACTTATATACAATGGTTAAAGTTACATCTCAAATAATCTAGGGATTTTTTATATTTATAAAACATCACATACATGCAAAATAATATTGAAAACAATTTCGCATTTCATTAATAATCTGCAAAGTATTTACATCTTATTTGATTTATGGACACATACCCCAACAATCTCCAGCTTGCCCTAAAGCAAATGAGACATGTCTTTAAGTCCCATACTTTTAAGATGTCTCTCAAAACTCCCAGCTGGTAATATTTTGGTAAACTGATCAGCTATGTTATTCGCGGATGCGATCTTTTCAACTGAAACGTCTCCTCTAGAAACAATCTCTTTGACTAGTGGAATTTCCGCTCTATATGCTTTCCTTTGCGGTGGTTACTGGGCTCCTTGGCATTGGCCACTGCTCCACGGTTGTCACAATAGAGTTTGATGGGCTCATGCATGTTTGGAACAACTTCCAACTCCTTCAGAAATTCATGAAGCCAGAGTTTTTCCTTAGCTGCTTCACAAGGTGTTATATACTCAACCTCTATGGTTGAGTCAGCAATACAAGATTGCTTGATACTCGTCCATATAATGGCTCCATTTCTCAAAGTGAACACCGCCCTCGAGGTAGACTTGCAAGAGTCCCTATCAGATTGAAAATCAGAATCAATATATTCAATAGGATCAAATCTCTACCAGAGTATACTAGCATATGGTTTCTCGTCTTCCTCAGATATTTGAGAATGTCTTTGACTA